TTGTAAACATATAATGATTTTCTAATTTGGATTAGGAATCTATTTCAAAAGTGAAGGCATATTTAAATTTAAGGTGTAAACTAAAGAAACAACCAAAAATATTTACTTATTTAGCTAGGCTAAACGTATTTACTTGTGAAAATATATATACTTTATGTTGGTTACGTAGTATAATTTTTAATTTCCTTTTTAAATATTTACTTATTTGAAGCTTACTAATTTATTAATAGGTGTCAAATTAATAAGTAAACTAATTTGCATATTTGTTTCTATTTAATTCCGTTTAGTAAACTTATGTAAATTAGTTTCCATATCAATAAACGTTATTAGAATTTCAATTTGATAACCAAAAATTATTATACTTATTTGAAGCTTATCAAATTAATTAAGGTGGATTTTTAAGGATTTTTGTTTCCATATCAATATGCAATCAAAAATAGAATCTAATAAAAACAAAAGGTATAAAAATAACTAAATAATTGTTATATATAATGACATGGCAGGATTATGTGGCGCTTTGTATGCTGTCAAAAAGTTCCTCTTTTATATACTAGTATGTGTACCCGTGTGTCGCACGGTAATAGAAGGTCATGGTTAATTTTTTCGAGAAATGAAAAGTATATTTTGAAGAAAAAGAAAGGGAAAATATCGACTCAATCTCATATCCAATATTTTAGTTTGTGTTATCATGATATACGTTATAGATTGTAAGTTAATAGAATTTTGGTTTTTGAGAAACAATAAGTTTATAGAATTGAAAATACAAATATGAATATAATAAAAGATTATTATACTTAAAATAATTGTTTAAAAGAATATGGATGTGTTAGTTGATTGTTGTACTACTAGTGGGTAATACTACATAGTAATCATTATTTGAAAAGGAACATAAATAACTTATAAAAGAGTGAGGAAGAAACGACCGAATGATGTAAAACTTTGTTCTAAAAGGTTATAAACAATATAGTGTATATATCATTATTTATTAGGAAAATTTAGGAGCATTTTCTTCTATTACTTTTGAATTATCACTTAAGATTATATACTAAAAAGTACCACCTCCGTCCCCCTAATATTGGGACGAAAAGAAGTGGTGTGGTGTTTAAGGAAAGTAGAAATATGTGATTGATAATGAGTTGATAAAGCAAGAACGAAGTAGACCCACACAAATGTTACCAAAAATGATATGAGACAATAATAGGGGAACATCCAAAAATGAAAAAATGAGACAATTATAAGGAGACGGAGAGAGTATATCATATGAGTACACATACTTTGACCTGTATGTAGGTTTTTTTGTTGAAAAACTAAGAATTGTTTTGGAACTGTGTATGTTCTACATCTTTTAAAACGATTAAGATGTTTTCATTTAAAGTTTCTTTAGTCTCGTCTCGATCAAAATTAAAAAGACCTCATCGAACATAAATATACCTAATTAGATCATCATCAAACAAACCAAACCCGACGTACAATTATTTGATTAATTTGTAAATTTTCATTCCAAATGGAAAAATTCTTAGCAAGTTTGTTAGCATGTCTTCCTCCTTTCTTTAATAATTGCAACACTTTGAATTTTACATTATTTACACACTTTACTTTGATCATGATCGATTTTCTAGAAATATATAATCAAATTATTATTATATGTCAAATATTATTGAATTTTTTTTAATGTGAACTTCCACAATATTAAATTTTTATAAAATATATTCATATACACTTAAATATAATTACAGTCAAAGTTATGTGCTGATAACATGAAACTCAAACTATTGCAATTGAAAAAGAACGGATGTAGTATTATTTACATCGCAAACATAAAAGTGTGTGCGATGTAAAAGTAATGAAATGGTAGTGACTATACATTATAAACCGTTATAAGTTGAAGTTGAATAGGTTTCCTTTATATATGTGCATGTAAAGTTGGGAAGTTAATCAGGTTTTCATTTACCCTTTTAAATGCTAGTTATGAATATTGTTGATAATGTAAATGATACTCCCTTCGAGGTAAAGAATTTTCCCACCAAATTTTCCTTTTAAAGTTTTCCCTTAAAACTTGATCAACTTTTCTTTTTATGGTTGTTCCACTAATATTGTCACTTCTCTTTTTAAGTAAAGAATTTGTGATTCTAGTTAATTCTCTCTCATCGGTATAAATAACAATACACAATTTTAATTGTTTAAATTCTCATGCTAGTCAAACTTGGTCAAATTTTAAGAGACGAAGAGAGTAATTTACAAGTAACCCCTATGTGTATTTTACCCTTCTATTTAAATTGTGTTCTACATAGATTGTGTGTCATATACACATGTGTTTAGAGACTTGGGAATAAGAGTAAAAAAAGAGACTTGGGAATAAGGTATTTATTGTAATGTTGACACATGTTACAATTTCCAATAAAGAGTATGTCCACATGTCAAAAATTCTTTCAATGATTTTCCAAGGGATCGCTTTATTATATTATATTATATATATATATATATATATATATATATATATTGATTGCACTTGATTACTCAAAAAGCCTCAAAATTTTAAAAATAATATTAGTATTATATATTTATATTTAATTTAATTGGGAACTAGCACAAAAGGATGACACCTATCACATTAGTTCAATTGTCTTAGAACAAAATGACTGTGATAGTTGACAATTCACTACCTCAAGATTACAAGAGTAGCACATGCATGTCCCAATTCAACCATAAAGTCTAGGGGAAATTCTCAAAATCCCAAACATAAAGTCTAGTAAAAATATTTAAGAATTTTGAAATATGACTTTCATATTTTTATTCATTAAATTCGAGTAATTAATGTCAAATTTGGAAAATATGATCATATTTCAAGTCTGATAATGCCAAAATATGAAAACACTTAATTATATTTAAGGAATAAAAACATGTTCATCAAGTCCAACATCAATAAATCAACTATAGTCACAACTAGCCTACCTGTCATCAAACCAAGTAATATTATGATTTATGACATGGTAGAAGACTAGAAGGTATAATGCTCGGACTCGTTGGCACTGCAAAATTATAAATACTGCTTCGCTTTCACTTAATATGGACTCGACACTTAAATACTTAGGGTCTGTTTACTAACAGAGATATTTTTCAGTTTTCCAGAAAACTGGAAAACAGAAAATAGGAAACGTGTTTACCAAAGAAATTGCTGGAAAACAGGAAAAAGGAAAAAAGAAAAATGTGTTTACCAAATCGTTTTCCAAAACGAAAAAAATGAGAAATGTCTCTCTTTTCCTCAATGATTTGGAGAAGTGACTTTTACTAGTTTTCCAAATTTGGAAAACGCAGATGCTACAATGCTGTTGCAATGAATTTGCATATATACTTACACCTAGTGGTGGGTCCGGTCTCGCTCCAATGTCGATTCCATTCCGGTACCTCCATCTTCGTACCTTACCCCTTACCCCTACCCTACCCACCCAACCCCCATCCCGCTTACCCATTTTCCCTATAATGACCCTACCCCACCCCCTACCACATGCCCCTATCTCGTCCCCACTCCGATCCACCCTACCTTACCGCCACCCCCCTACCACCTCGACCCACCCTACCCTACCCCTACCCCTCGTATATTACCTCTTACCCCTACCTCACCCCTTACCACATGCCCCCTACATCGGCCCCACCCCACCTCCATCCTACCCCCACCCTTCCGCCATCCTACCTCCACCCTACCCTTTCCCTACCTCGGCCCCACCTGGGTCCCGGGCCCATCCTACTGCCATCCTATCCCAACTCCCTACCCTACCCCTACCTTACCCCCACCCTTACCGCCATTCTACCCCCACCACCATCCTACCCCCCCACCCTACCCCTTCCCTACCTCGGCCCCCTGATCCCGGCCCCACCCTACCACCATCCTATCCCAACTCCCTACCCTACCCCTACCTTACCCCAACCCTACCAACTACCCCACCCTTACCCCTAACCACAACCCTAACCCACCCACTACCCCACCCAACCCCCAACCCCTAGACCTTACCACCCCACCCCGACCATACCCCTTAACCCTACCCCACCCATAACTTCCCTACCCCGACCCCTACGAGTAGGTATGGGTGGGTATGAAGGGTTGTGGGGGAGTATGGACCGTATGGGTAGAGTGTAAGATCGTGGTAGGGGTAGGGGTCAAGGGTGTGGAATTGGAGAACTGAGTGAAAAAATTAATGAACATGTTTTCATATTTGAAAATGGAAAACTAAAAAATAGAAACAGAAAATTGGAGATAGAAAAACTGAAAAATAAAAACAGAAAATTGGAGAACGAAAAACAGAAGTAGAAAACAGGAAAATATTTCTGTTAGTAAACATGCCCTTATTCTGGTTTTCTAGCTGAACTACCTCAACCTCTTAGAGCATGCCCGGGAGTTTGGGAGGAGGGGAGACTGGCCTGGGGAGGGATGTTTATAGGTTAATTGGATAGGAAAGGAGGGAAAGTGAATGAAATCCTTTTTGTTTGCATCGAAAAGTCAATGGAGTATTTATAATTAAAAACGTTTCAAATAATTATATTCAAATAATTAGAGCTATATTTATTAGCTAGACTTGTCATTTAATTAGTCATTCAAAAACCCCCAATTTGGGAAATCTAAAATTTGAACATTTGAACGGTCTAGATGCAACTATTCAAGAAGGCTTCAAACCTATCTCTTCCATTTTAAACTCCCAACCAAAAAATGTGAGTCATAAACTATCTTCACCCATCCAAACATAATTCTCAAGCATACACTTAAAAACTGTAATACTTGGGTTTTCCCATCCTATTATGTGAATTTTGCTCGCCTCATTATTATACATTTATACCAAGTTCTTCTCTGTCATTATATCTACAATCTGCTACTTATCCAAACAAATACGGATCTAAAAGGTGAATTAATACTTTTATTTAATGAAATATACCCCCCACCCCACCCCAGCTCCCACCCTCAAGAAAAAACCTTAATGCCCAAGTATAGGCTTAGTAGAGTTTCTATGTGGATGTGCCAATAAGAATTTTTATGAAAGTAACACTTCCCGAATGAAAAATTCCTTCATTTTGCTGGTTAAGAAAACCCAACAAAAATGAACTTTTGATTAGCCCGCTTCGAAGTATAGTATAGGTTGACATCAAAACTACATTAACAGTGTGCCAGTACTTTTGTCGTAAAAAATTGTTATAAATGACTGAAGATTAAGCTGTTTGTTAACAAAGATATTATTATTCCTGCCCAGCACAAACTAAGATTAAGCCCCTCTACTTGTTGTAAAGGTACGCCAGAGAAAAAATAAAGAAACCTGCCATCTGGAATCATGATATCAATTGTTAGGATGTGATGACATTTTGAAATTGATCAACATTTTAATTTGTAAGAAACGTTGATGGAGTAGATGAATACCATAGAAAAGGATGCCCCATAGTAGGGAAAAGCAGCTGTAAGGAACCGCTCGTACTCATTGTGTCTGAAGGGTCTCACAGGAATCTGCAAGTAAGAATTTTTTCAGATGATATTAATGAATATTCATTGTACTAAACAGAAGTAAATAGTAATTGCACGTGCAGGACTAAATACCAACACCACTGTATATGCGTAAAACACAAGTCCTATTATGCTAATCAAACAAGCCGACTCGCAAGTTGCTCGAGATTGACTCGATTCTTACTTGAACTTAATTTGATTCGAGATAAACTCGACTCGTACTCGAACTTGACTCAAACCAAACCAAATAAAGCCCAACCTATATACAAACTTCACTCGAAAAACTCGTAAACTACACGATTATGAATTAGTATTGATTTTTTAAAATTCATACATATGACATTATATCATATATCCATAGTATGAATCCATGCATGAAAAAGTATAATTACCTTCTACTACAAATATACAAGAGATTCACATATTGCTTAACATTTTAGACATTGTTCTAAAAGTGTTATGGGGACTTTAGGCATTCTCAGGCGACGTTTAAGCAAATTTAAGTAGGATTATATAAACTTTGTTCATCTTAGGTTTTAATAAATCATAAACAGCAAAGAGAGGCCTAATATTTAAGAGACATCTAAGCGGAGAATTAGACCGCTACCGGTGCTTTTATTTTTTTTAAAATTATTGATGATTAAAACGTATATCAAATCAAACTCTTTATTTAAAATGTATGTAGTATCATTTTTTAGAATAAATAAAACTTGAATACAACTCAAACTTCGTCTTTCTTAATCAAGCACAGCTTGATCTAAATTGAACTCGAGCTCGACTCGCTTGATTATCACCCCTAAGTCATTCATTTCATTTTCATTTACCCCAGTGCCGCAAAGGCTCCCACCTACGGTGGGGTAATGGGGGTCGGATGGACTCAGTCTTACCCCTGTACTAAAGCACAGAGAGACTGTTTCCGGATGACCCACAGTAAAAATCGCGTCCAAAATTGCATGGACTGACTGCTGCTTCATAACAAAGAAGCGCAGACAGTTTAGTGAGTCATTTGTTGTATTACAAAAAAATAGAACCACTAAACTTTTGCTGCACAATAGGAGTCTTTTACTCCTAGAGAATATAACAATAAATAATGATTAAATAATGGACATAAATACACTTCTATGCCCAATTTAGGGTTCTATATCCCCCTCTACGAAAAGCCATAGCAAAGGCACCTTACAAGGAAAGCTTTGGAATATTAATCTTGACGCATTTTGAATCCACCAAACAGGTAAAGCTTCACCCATGTACCTTCACCCATGCTGTACTATTTTTATTAACTGAACAAAAAAGCTTCTGGGCGTAGCTTCCAAACATATTTGATTGATATTGAGGTAATTGCAATTTAAGTATTATTAAGCTTTATTAGATTTAATCACCCACTACTGTTTTGGAACAGTGAGAATGTTTTGGTCCAACTAGAGAAATTTCCATTAAAACCGAGATGAGAATCTTCTAATGCAAAACAACGTTGAGAGAGACATGATAACATTCGTTCTCACATATAGATTGTACTATTGAATTTGTGATGTAAAGACATGATTTGTTTTAAAATGCACGCCTGAGGCAAGAGGGGCAGCGATGCTACCACCTACTGGCACCCGAACAACCTTGGCACACCTAGTGCCTCCTAAAACTTGGGATGCAGCTATGCTCTTAGCCTCGTAGTTAAGTGTATAAGCTGTTATTTGTGAACTTCCTTAATCCCAACTATGTTGTGTCATTAACATGACGTTTGTAGGGTTTAAGTGGGTCTTGACCTGTTTGGTACCAATGCTTTAGGGTTATATCAAATTGTCACTTTTTATATATTTTTTGTCTCAACAGTTCTAAGAATGCATCATTTTGGTACCAATTCTTTAACTTGTATCAAATTAGTACATTTTTTTTATAAAATGCATCTAATTCAGTAAATAAATCATAAAAATGTAATAAAATATTTCCATTTTTTATGAAAATTGAAAAGTAATGATTTGTCATTAGTATCAGTCGATATATCTCGCTAGCTATTTATGGATATATCAAACATTTAAAACACATAACTCCAAAAAAAACTAAGAATTTCACATTGTTAAATAAGGTATGAGATGTCTATAAGTATAGAGATTTATCAGCCCATATCTCCATAAATTATTGGTACAAACATACAGATGAATTAATGATATTCCTATCCGGGATATTCAGAAATTTTAGTGAGTATCTATAGCTACATTTGTGGTTTTAAAATCTTATTTATTAAAGCATAGACATTTATGATTTTTTCATATAAGCTTCATAATAAATATGTAGTACTCCCTCCGTCCCGCTGGAATGTTCCCGGTTTGGACACTGTTTGACACTGTTTGACACTGTTTTGCACTGTTTGACACTGTTTTGATGTAGAGTAACTTTCCATTTAGGGAAATGAGAACTTTCCATTGGGACATCCAAAAAAGGAAAGTGGGAACATTCCAACGGGACGGAGGTAGTATAATTTTATTGCAAATATACAGATTTAAAAAGCTTGGTACTAGTTAGACACAAATTAAAGAATTGTTTCAGAGTATGATACATTCTTCAAAAGTATTTGTACCAAAAAGATAGAAATAAAAAGAATTAGTAAACAATATGATGCATTCTTCAATAGTATTGGTGCCTGAAAGATCTAAATTAAATAATTGCAACGAATTGTATACAACCCCAAAGGCCCAAAGTACTGGTAGCAAATAAGCTCAAAACACAAAGGGCAGCCCAGTGCACATTGGTATCTCTGCAAGGTGAGGTTCTAAGTAGGGCTGGGAAAAAACTCCCGACTCCCGACTCCCGATCCCGATCCCGACAATCCCGATCCCGAAAATCCCGATCCCGACAATCCCGATCCCGACTAGTCGGGAAATTTTCCCGATCCCGACTAAGTCGGGACGGGACCGGGATTTTTTTTTAAAAAAAAGTCGGGATCGGGAAAATCCCGACATCCCGACATTATATATATATATATATATAATTATATATATATACATGTATATAATTATATATGAATATATAAAAAATGAATATGTATCTAAATATTTGCACATCTTTTTTAATTACTTATTCCTTACATAGATTAATCTTTTACTACGAGTATCTTACAATATCAAACTTCTAAAACTATTCGGCATTTGTCCGAAAATGAATATTCGGTATCCTAACTAAGTAGAGATTATTCTTGATCCCAACAATCTAAATCACAACATACAATATTACAAATTTTGCGGTTCTGATGAACTCTTTAAAAAATTGTGATCGAGACTAAGATTTCTTTCTTTAGTAGATAATCATAATATGTATTTACATATTATATTCATTGGTCACAAAGTTTCTCAATGAGTCTACTTAGTTTTGAATTTTAAATAATATACATTACATATCCTTCTTTTAGTGTTTTTTATATATTGTTTTAAGTAAGTTTCACTAAGCCTTGATAGCTTATTCAAAAATTATACTATTAATTAATAGAAGTTACACATAAAAATTATTCTAGAAGTATATACTAGTGTGAGTTTGAGATGATAATTATTACAATAACTTTCTTAGTAGATGATGATAAATATGGTATAACAGTAAACAAAGAATAATATTGAAACCATTAAATATCAAAGTTAGTGTTTAACTTAAGAAATTACATAATTTTATGTTTGATACTTCATTGTCGGGATTTAGCGGGATTAAGCGGGATTCCCGATCGGGATCCCGACTTAATCGGGATTTTAATGTCGGGATCCCGACTTAATCGGGACGGGATACGGGATCCTCTTTTAGTTTGAATCGGGATCGGGACGGGATCGGGATTTGGGCAATCGGGATCGGGATCATCCCGATCCCACCCCTAGTTCTAAGGGTCCCACCATAATTGTGGTGTATAAGGCTGTAGATTATTGCAGAGATTATCCTAATTAATCACCCGATTGAGGAGTTATGGGAAGATATCCTGGAGATCTCAGAATCTCTAAATATCCCCATATATCTTTTCTTTATTAGAGAACCTTAATTAGAAGGATTCCTTGATTTCCTTCCTTATTTTACTTTCTTCTCTGGCTATATATTATGTAGTCTTCTCCTTGTATTACATAGAACAACAATAATAATATACATTCTACTTTTCACGAGTTCTTTCTACATGGTATCAGAGCTGTGGTTATTCTCAATATGATTAAGTTTGGATCATATGGGATGACCACCGAGAGAGATGGATCTATCTCAGACACCTCTGAACATTCAGAGGCTGTCCCAACTAGAGATGGCAGCAACCAGAATATCAATGGAAGCACAGTCACCATCCCTAATCAATCAGATTCGATTATTACTTGCCATAAACTCAATGGTAGTAATTATCTACAATGGTCCCAGTCCGTTATGATGTACGTGTGTGGAAAAGACAAGGAGGACTATTTGACAGGTGATGCACCTGCTCCGGATCAAAGAGATCCAGGTTACAAGAAGTGGAAAAAGGAGAACTATACTGTGATGTCATGGCTCATCAATTCCATGACAACCAGTATAGGGGAAAATTTTCTACTCTACAAAACAGCTCAAGAGATTTGGGAGGCTGTGAAAGAAACCTACTCAACCTCAGATAACACTTCTGAATTATTTGAGGTTGAATCAATGATATATAACCTTCAGCAGGGAGAATTGAGTGTAACTCAATACTTTAACAACCTTATGAGACTCTGGCAGCACCTTGATGTGTTTGAGACATATAGCTGGTCATGTTCTAAGGATAAGAAGTTATATCAGGAAATCTGTGAGAGGAAGAGAGTCTTCAAATTTCTGTCAGGCTTGGACAAGAGTCTAGATGAGGTTAGGGGGAGAATAATGGGAAAGAAATTCACCCTTAGAGAAGCTTTCTCAGAAGTCAGAAGAGAAGAAAGCAGAAAGAAGGTAATGATGGGCCTGAAATCTCAAGGCCAACAACCAAGCATTGAAGGTTCAGCCTTATATACTTCTTCCAGACAGAATGACAACAAGAAAAAGGGGAGGCCATGGTGTGATCACTGTAAGAAACCAGGCCATACTAAAGAAACATGCTGGATTCTGCATGGTAAACCCAAAGATTTCAAACCAGGCAAAGGGAAAGGAGCCTATGTAGCTACTGGAGATAAAGAAGATATGGGCACTTCTAACTCTGCTGCATTTACCAATGAGCAGATTGAGGTTCTTCAACACCTAATAAATCAGAACAAAGGGTCTACACCACCAACTAGCTTTACTGCCCAGACAGGTAATGCCTTAACAACCCTAGTTGCTCAAAGTCAGCCCCATTGGATTGTTGATTCAGGGGCATCAGACCATATGACTGGAGACAGTAAGTTTTTTGCTGATTTGATCCCTATGAAGAATAATGTGACTGTGAAGATTGCTGATGGAACTACTTCAGCAATAAAAGGGATTGGAAGAGTCAAAATTTCTGATATGATAGTGCTTAAAAATGTGTTATATGTTCCAGATTTAAAGTTTAACCTCTTATCAGTCAGTAAACTGAACAATGATTCCCATTGCCTAACTAAATTCTCTTCCCAATTGTGTGAATTTCAGGATTTGGATTCGGGGAGGATGATTGGCAGTGCTAAGCAAAGTGGTGGACTCTATCTTCTGGAACATTCACCACATTTACCAAATTCTACCAACAAGACAACTTCCAGTGAGAGTCAATTCAACCATAAATTCTTAGGGAGTCTTAGTAGAAGTCAATTTGATGATCAAATTCAGCTATGGCATTATCGTCTTGGTCATCCTAATGTCTTGTACTTGAAAAAATTATTTCCTAAATTATTCATCAATAAAAGTTCTATGTTTGATTGTGAATTTTGTCAACTTGCTAAACATACAAGAAGTCATTATCCCAGTCTACCTTACAAACCATCAAAACCATTTTCTCTCATTCACAGTGATGTTTGGGGGCCATCCAAGGTAAAAAATCTCTCTGGTTCAAAGTGGTTTGTTCTGTTTATTGATGATCATACACGCTTAACCTGGGTCTTCCTCATGAAAGAAAAGTCAGAAGTCAATAGTATCTTTCAAAGATTCTATTCTATGATCAAAACTCAGTTTCAAACCAAGATTCAAGTTCTTAAAACTGATAATGCCAAAGAATATTTCTCATCCAACTTAGGAGAGTTTCTGTCAAAAAGGGGGATTATACACATTAGCTCCTGTGTTGACACCCCACAACAGAATGGGGTAGCAGAAAGGAAGAATAGACACTTACTGGAAGTTGCTCGAGCCCTTATGTTCACCACTCACACTCCTAAACACTACTGGGGAGAGGCTGTCCTAACTGCAGCTTATCTAATAAATAGGATGCCCTCCAAAATTCATCAGTTTAAAACTCCATACCAAATCCTATCTAATATACACCCTCACATCCCTCTTACCAATCTCCCACCAAAGGTCTTTGGTTGCAAAGCATTTGTTCACAACCATTCTCCACTTAGGTCAAAACTGGATCCCAAATCCTTACCTTGTGTGTTCATAGGGTATGGTGCCAACCAGAAAGGATATAAATGTTATTCTCCTACCACAAAAAAGGTCTACATCACAATGGATGTAACCTTTTTTGAAAATCAGCCTTTCTATGTCAAAACTGAATTTCAGGGGGAGAATCACAATGAAATCCAGTCTTTGAACCCTATTTCAGACACTATTCCAGACCTCCAAGAATCTGACTTTAACCACATTGAACCCATAATCCCAGACAAGCCTGAATCAATCCCTCTAGACAATACAGTCTCTCCATTAACCTCACCACTTCAGCCACCACCTTCATCCCCTCAAAACCTTACACTGAATCAAAATTCCACATTCTACAAAAATACCTACAAGAGGAAACCTAGAACCAAAGTTCCAGAAGATGAGCACATCACTCCAACTAGCACCACCCAATCATCTGACTCAAATCTAAATCCTGATGACAAAGAGGTTGAGGCTATAGAAGGAGATGAGGAGGAAGAGGACCTGCCTATTGCTATCAGAAAGGGAGTAAGGGAGTGTACCAAGCATCCTATCTATAATTTTCTTTGTTATAAGAAATTATCAGCAAACTATCAAACCTTTATTTCAAAGATTGATAGTATTCAGGTTCCTAGCAACATCAAGGAAGCCCTTGAACATCCAGGGTGGAGGAAGGCTGTCCATGATGAACTGGCAGCGTTGAAGAAGAATGGAACTTGGGTGCTTACAGATTTGCCAGCAGGGAAGAGGACTGTTGGCTGCAAGTGGGTATTTACAGTGAAATATCAGGCTGATGGCAAGATTGAGAGACTTAAGGCAAGACTGGTTGCTAAGGGGTTCACCCAAACTTATGGCATTGATTATTCAGAAACATTTGCACCAGTGGCAAAGTTGAACACCATTAGAGTATTGCTTTCACTCGCAGTGAACCTAGACTGGCCATTACATCAACTAGATGTTAAGAATGCTTTTCTTAATGGAGACCTAGAAGAGGAAGTATTCATGGATGTACCACCAGGGTTAGAAGACTTGGTGAAATCTGGCCAAGTTTGCAGACTGAAAAAGTCCTTGTATGGACTAAAGCAGTCTCCTAGAGCATGGTTTGATAGATTCACAAGATCAGTAATTAAACAAGGGTTCGTGCAATGTCAAGCAGACCATACATTATTTATAAAGAGGGCAGACTCTGATAAAATAGCTATTCTTATAGTATATGTCGATGATATTATCATGACCGGGGACTTTAAAGCTGAATTGGACAGATTGAAGGCCCATCTAGCAAGAGAATTTGAAATCAAGGAGCTAGGCGAGTTGAAGTACTTCTTGGGAATGGAAGTGGCAAGATCTAAGAAGGGCATTTTCATTTCACAAAGGAAATATGTCCTAGACTTGCTAAGTGAAACTGGAATGCTTGGGTGCAAACCTCTAGACACTCCTATGGATATATCGAAGAAGTTAGGCAGTGAGATTGAAAGTCCACCAGTTGATAAGGGTAGATATCAAAGGCTGGTGGGAAAGCTAATCTATCTATCTCATACACGGCCAGACATTGCTTTCTCAGTAAGTGTGGTAAGTCAATTCATGAATGACCCAACTGAGGAACACTTAACTGCAGTCTACAGAATTCTGAAGTACCTGAAAATGACTCCTGGAAAAGGATTGTTGTTTCAGAAACAGGGGACTAGAAAGATTGAAGTATTTACTGATGCTGACTGGGCTGGTAGCCTCCTAGACAGAAGGTCAACTACTGGTTACTGTACTTATGTATGGGGTAACTTAGTCACCTGGAGGAGCAAAAAACAATCTGTAGTTTCTAGAAGTAGTGCAGAATCTGAGCTCAGGGCTTTAGCACAAGGAATTTGTGAAGGGTTATGGTTAAGAAGATTGATGAATGAGCTCAAACTTCCATTTGAAAGTTCCATCCAGATTTCATGTGATAATCAATCTGCTATCAGTATTGCTAAGAATCCTGTCCATCATGACAGGACCAAACACATTGAGATAGATAGAAGATTTTTGTCTGAGAAGATTGCAGCTAAGGATATCCAGCTAATCTATGTTCCAACCAGGCAACAAATAGCTGATATACTCACCAAGGCACTTCCCAGAATTCAGTTTGAAGACTTATCTAGCAAGCTGTGCATGGATGATATCCATCACCCAGCTTGAGGGGGAGTGTAGATTATTGCAGAGATTATCCTAATTAATCACCCGATTGAGGAGTTATGGGAAGATATCCTGGAGATCTCAGAATCTCTAAATATCCCCATATATCTTTTCTTTATTAGAGAACCTTAATTAGAAGGATTCCTTGATTTCCTTCCTTATTTTACTTTCTTCTCTGGCTATATATTATGTAGTCTTCTCCTTGTATTACATAGAACAACAATAATAATATACATTCTACTTTTCACGAGTTCTTTCTACAAAGGCGCAAGCCTTCCCTTGTTATTTTGACAAGAGGCCACTCTCAAGTCTCAAGACTTGAACTCGTGACCGTAACCGGTGCCCAAGACTCTCTTCGAATAGGTCAAAACACAGTTTAAGAAATAATGCAATTAAAATCCAAAACAGTCATCATATATTTTCTTTCACTTGCATGGAAAATATCGTAAGAATGACTTTTGAGATAATTATTATGAAGTCCTATTATTGCATATGCCACATTAGAAGATTGATATTGTAAAATCAATCTCACACCATGAATCATCAATCGTGACAACGCGAACTTTTATAAACGCTTAAGAGACGAAACTTCCACTTAATCCAATGGTAAATTTGTAGTACATCAGTTCTTTTTTGACATAAAAAGCTCAATTGCTTTTAGGTAAAAATAGAATGACCTAATAAATGCAAAAATGTGAGCAAAAAGGGAGAGGAAGATAGAATGGACCTGCTTTGAAAGGCTTAAACTTGTGTATCCCAACCTTTCGTATTCAACCTTAAACTGGAATACACCATAAACATCTGGGACCTTGAAGGAAGTATGGTAGAGACCCTGTACAAAGTGGATTTAAAAATTAGAAAGTAAATTTACCTGGCAATTCAGTTACAAAGTGGTAACATCCGAGCTTTTGAGATCAGAAGCAATTTTTCTAACCTGTTGGTTGGTTGACAAGGTTTTTAAAACGTAGGGACTCATCATGTAAAACTGTACTTGGACATCGTCTGCTACATATGGTTCCCAGCTTGTTCCAGACCATTCATAAATCTCAACAGAGAATTCCTTCCAGCCATAGTGAAGCATCAAAATTGAGTTTTCCAATATATAAAGTTCTAAATACATTATATATACATAATACTCAAAATGTTTTCACTTAAACTGGTTTTAGTCTCAGACAAGACCAGTCTTAAGCAAATCAGGTCAAACTATACTTGACTTCATCATAGCAAATTACACATAGGTGACATAACACAAGACCTTTATCAAACCAGACGAAACCACAGTCCAGAGCAGTCTTAAAAGACCACATGATATCAAACAAAAAAAAAGTCCAAGTAAACACATCCTTACACATGCATGAATAAAAAATTAAAATAAATTACCGTGTCATCGCTGATCCTGTACATAGAAGGTTCATCTGCTTGACCAACATTATGATGTCTAACATTTACAGCCTACAAGTCAAAACATGTATAATTCACATGATTGGTTGGTTAGCAAATACCCCAAGAAATATGGAAATGGACTCTTTCAGAACGAAACATCTGAACCTTGAGATGCCCTCTTTCATGGAAGACCCACTTGCTAATTTCAGTTAGAAACTGTTCATTCCCAGATTTATCATGCCTACAAGAATAAACACAAAATCACGATAATAAGCATAAAGCTAATTGAAAGAACCTATTATTCCAGACGTTGCTTAATGTTCACAAAGAAAACAACTCACTTACTTACCGAGTTGGGTTTCCAGCTTTCTGAACCCCAGATCTAAAGAATCTGTAACCCAGAAGATGTAATAACAATCAAACACTGTTTCATCAATAAATATAGAAGCATAAAACAATTGATGAGATGTTTACCGATTGCTAAACATGCTTAAAGAGCCTGCTATCAGAATCCGAGCATTATTTCTAGCCTGCAAAGTTAAACGGATTGAAATTTCTGTCACTTCTCAAGTTTGTACAACATCATGCCATTAGAAGAGAAGGCCTGGTTATTGTTTTGAAATGCTAATAGAATAACCAAATATTTATGTTAATGAAATTTCCTACAGTAACGAAATCTACATCCATTTTCAAGATAAATTAAAAATTATCATATTTCATTTTCGGTTGTGTTTTCCATAGCAAAACCCATATACGGATAAAACACAAGATCGAAATCAACTTTTCACAGCACTTTTTTCCTTTCCCTATACTTTAAAAGATCGAAACGCAATAACCTAAAAGCCTAAAAGAAAGAATGTCTCCAATGAGCAAGAGGGTAAAACAATGTTCTTAACATTGCGCTTTAAGTTGAACTCAAACTCCCTATTTAAATAAAACAGCCTACTTCATTTTCAATGGGGGGTTGTGAGGGAAACCGTGGACGAAGAGCCAGAGAGGAGATACTCAGAAGAAGAGGAACAGACCTGGACAACTGAAACAAGAGAGATTGCAGAACCAGTGAGCGTTGGTGGGTTTGACAACTTCGACCCTGGATTGGCTGAATATGCTGCTGGTGATGCTGATAAAACCTTTAAAACCTGCATGTATGGTGGTTGGTGAGCTTGTTACTATTAAGACATAACAATAGTTGTTTGAGGTGCACACACATCAACATGCATGGTTTATATATTTATTATTTGCATTCTTGAACAAACCACTTATGGGGGGAAAGGTTACCAAGCCATTCGTAGGATTTACAGAATGAGCAATCCCTTGAAAAAGTACTGGCACCTGCAGTAGATAGCATTCAAAAATTTCAGAGAAACATAAAAACAAATCTGCAAAATATTCCCAATAACAAAAATCGTCCTACAGTCGATGAGAGGACAATGTAGATAATAAATAGCTCATACCTCAATTGTTTTGCTTCCTAGAATAACTTCAGATTGAATGAAATTAGAGGCAGCAATCAACGTATGATCCCCATCTGTGTCAGAAACTGCATAGCTTTTGTGATCAATCACTGAAGCTGCAGGGTCCTATCATTATGCATTTATTTATAATTAAAAATAGTTAGAAAGAGTAAAATCCTTGAATCATGTTTGAACTAAAGCATGAATATAGAGTAATAGGATCACAAGAAGAGGGTATTTGTCCATGTACTCTTAGGTCACTAGTTCAGGTCCTAAAGCTCCCAATAGGTCCATTGGAGGTCTAATGGGAGCTAACCTGAGGTCGCATGGGATTAGTCGACCAAAATAGTCCGAACACCCACTGTAATAATAATAATAATAATAATAATAATAATAACAATTATTATTATACTTCGTATATATAGTAATAGTAAAGTAATAATCCTAATTATCATAAATATAGAAAGAAAAAATATTGTTAAGTATCCTACTATCTTGCAAAATGCTAGAATAATGACTTTAATGAGTACCTCATCAAAATCTACGCCACACTCAGTAGCTATTTCACGGATAAGATCAGATGCAAAAACATCAGCTGCCAGTATCAAATCACGACCAGAATCCACAAAATTCAATATTGCTGCAGCATCAACATTCCCTCCAAATCCTAACCAAAAATATTAATAATAACAGAAATCAAGACACGGCAACACTGACTATCACAGCTCACACATTTCCAGCGACATTGCATTTATAGTTATCCAGGTGGAATTTGTTGAAGTAGTCTCTGAGATCATCGGATCTAACAAATTAATGAACGAGATATATTCATATATAGTCAAAGAGCGGACTCACGGTCAACGGAAGGGGAGAAGAGAATCAAAGCTTCGTATAAATACTGGCCGTATCTTTGCAAGGCGATCTTTGGATCCCTGGCAAGCTTGAATTCGAGATTGTATCCCCGATTTTCTAAGGCCTTAAAGTAGAGAGAGTGGGACGATTTGATACCAAAATCGTCGAGCAGAACCAAAACTCGCGGACTGGTATGACTGTCCGGCGAGAAACTGCTGCACGTAACCGCGATCAAGCTCACGATCAGCGTTAGTATTAATCTCCTGAGCATTGCTGAAGCTTAACTGATGTATCCAAGGATTTTAGCAGACGTAATCAGCTGGCCTCTCAACACTCTGCAGTCACAGCTCCAGAGTCCGATTACACTAGTGCACTACCAGGAACATTTCGATTCAAATTGTGTGTTGGATTCAATGGGTTGACTAGTTTGTTAATTTAACCATTTGGCAATAAAATTTTGGGAAAAACTCCATTTTTTAAAACATCAACCCAAAACTCTCCTATTAACAGCGTTTTCCTTTCGGCATTTGTGGCCAAAAACGCTAGTGTCGAACAGCTATTTACCAAACAACTTTTTCACTTTTTGAAAACGCTAAAAGTGGTCAAACTGCCATTTTTCGGCTGAAACGCCGTTTACCAAACACCCCCTTCATAAAAGTTGTACTCCTACTAAGAGGTTCCTACATTTCTCAACAACAAGACCTCAATTAACACTAAAACTCCGAATTTGTGTACTTAAAAAGATCAAATGCAATATAGGGTAATCTTTACTTCACCTCATATAAGTTGATGTAATCAATTGACCGTTACGTCATTATTTCAAGTTGCATATTTAAAAAGAGATATGTTACCAAATTTGGAAATGCAAAAACTATTGGAAACATGGTTTTACAAATTAATATTATGGTCATTAATATTATTTGTAAAAAAAAAACCATTTTGAAATGAATGAGAAATTGTTTCCCGAAAGATAAGTGTGAAATTATATCTCACACGCAAACACCATCGCCGCCGTCAAGTCGGCCGGGTAGGGTTTCGGGTTAGGTTCTTAAACTGCCCGCCCGAGTATATGGCTTAAAGATAATTCTATTAATCGCTATTAATTTTGGATAGTGTTTGGCAATAGACACATCCTTTGTTTTTAGGAGGGTCACAACCTTTCATTCTAAAGGTGTCTTTTGGGTGAAGAGTTTCCTGGCCAGAGCTCTAAAATATCCATGATTGCTTGCACTTTCAATATGTTCGAAAATCATCACACAATCCTTCATATTCTCTTTTTCCTTCGTTGCATCTTTGACTTCGCCGGAATCTTGTTGGGAGGAAAGAACCGTTCTATCCAGGGAGACGCTTGCTACGTGCGTCGCGCAAAAACGTCTTAAGGAAACAACGTTTACGTTGAGCTCGGTTACCTAATTATTTATTTATTATTCTATTTGCATGCAAAATATTGTAATTTTACATAACAAAAACAAAATTCAAATACCAAACTCCCAAAATGCTTAGAACATTAAGAATAGTCACCCCTTCATATTAAATACTCCATATAGTCCATATTAAATACTTATTACAGAGTATATTTTTATCTAGGGTCGCAATAGTCCTATAGAAGGGCCTGTATATCTATCATATACTCTTAAATCTTAATGTGTCCGACTTCATCACCCCTTCATGAGTGGGAGGGCTAGTGTTATGATATTACCGAGCAATATCAAGCGAGACTAGCCCAATATCTTGCATATGAGTCATCATGTCCGTAATTTCTGGAATTGGAGGTTCGGTGCCGCACTACCTAAGACTGAGCAAATGGCTAAGAGACCCAACCACCCTTAGCACAAAAGGATGACACCCATCACATTAGTTCAATTGTCTTAGAACAAAATGACTGTGATAGTTGACAATTCACTATCCCAAGATTACAAGAGTAGCACATGCATGTCCCAATTCAACCATAAAGTCTAGGGGAAATTCTCAAAATCCCAAACATAAATTCTAGTAAAAATATTTAAGAATTTTAAAATATGATTTTCATATTTTTATTCATTAAATTCGAGTAATTAATGTCAAACTTGGAAAATATGATCATATTTCAAGTTTGATAATGCCAAAATATGAAAACACTTAATTATATTTAAGGAATAAAAACATGTCCATCAAGTCCAACATCAATAAATCAACTATAGTCACAACTAGCCTACCTGTCATCAAACCAAGTAATATTATGATTTATGACATGGTAGAAGACTAGAAGGTATGATGCTCGAACTCGTTGGCACTGCAAAATTATAAATACTGCTTCGCTTTCACTTAATATGGACTAAACACTTAAATACTTAACATTCTGGTTTTCTAGCTGAACTACCTCAACCTCTTAGAGCATGCCCGGGAGTTTGGGAGGAGGGGAGACTGGGGAGGAAGGTTTATAGGTTAATTGGATAGGAAAGGAGGGAAAGTGAATGAAAACCTTTTTGTTTGCATAGAAAAGTCAATGGAGTATTTATAATTAAAAACGTTTCAAATAATTATATTCAAATAATTAGAGCTATATTTATTAGCTAAACTTGTCATTTAATTAGTCATTCAAAAAACCCCAATTTGGGAAACCTAAAATTTGAACATTTGAATGGTCTAGATGCAACTATGCAAGAAGGCTTCAAACCTATCTCTTCCATTTTAAACTCCAAACCAAAAAATGTGAGTCATAAACTATCTTCACCCATCCAAACATAATTCCCAAGCATACCCTTAAAAACTGTAATACTTGGTTTTTCCCATCCTATATTGTGAATTTTGCTCGCCTATTATTATACATTTATACCAAGTTCTTCTCTGTCATTATATCTACAATCTGCTACTTATCCAAACAAATACGGATCTAAAAGGTGAATTAATACTTTTATTTAATGAAATATACCCCCCACCCCACCCCAGCTCCCACCCTCAAGAAAAAACCTTAATGCCCAAGTATAGCTTTAGTAGAGTTTCTATGTGGATGTGCCAATAAGAATTTTTATACAAGTAACATTTCCCGAGTGAAAATTTCCTTCCTTCATTTTGCTAGTTAAGAAAACCCAACAAAAATGAACTTTTGATTAGCCCGCTTTGTAGTATAGTATAGGTTGACATCAAAACTACATTAACAGTGTGCCAGTACTTTTGTCGTAAAAAATTGTTATAAATGACTGAAGATTAAGCTGTTTGTAAACTAAGATATTATTATTCCTGCCCAGCACAATCTAACTCAGCTTCTAAGCCCCTCTACTTGTTGTAAAGGTACGCCAGAGAAAAAACAAAGAAACCTGCCATCTGGAATCATTATATCAATTGTTAGGATGTGATGGCATTTTGAAATTGATCAACATTTTAATTTGTAAGAAACGTTGATGGAGTAGATGAATACCATAGAAAAGGATGCCCCATAGTACGGAAAAGCAGCTGTAAGGAACCGCTCGTACTCATTGTGTCTGAAGGGTCTCACAGGAATCTGCAAGTAAGAATTTTTTCAGATGATATTAATGAATATTCATTGTACTAAACAGAAGTAAATAGTAATTGCACGTGCAGGACTAAATACCAACACCACTGTATATGCGTAAAACACAAGTCCTATTATGCTAATCAAACAAGCCGACTCGCAAGTTGCTCGAGATTGACTCGATTCTTACTTGAACTTAATTTGATTCGAGATAAACTCGACTCGTACTCGAACTTGACTCAAACCAAACCAAATAAAGCCCAACCTATATACAAACTTCACTCGAAAAACTCGTAAACTACACGATTATGAATTAGTATTGATTTTTTAAAATTCATACATATGACATTATATCATATATCCATAGTATGAATCCATGCATGAAAAAGTATAATTACCTTCTACTACAAATATACAAGAGATTCACATATTGCTTAACATTTTAGACATTGTTCTAAAAGTGTTATGGGGACTTTAGGCATTCTCAGGCGACGTTTAAGCAAATTTAAGTAGGATTATATAAACTTTGTTCATCTTAGGTTTTAATAAATCATAAACAGCAAAGAGAGGCCTAATATTTAAGAGACATCTAAGCGGAGAATTAGACCGCTACCGGTGCTTTTATTTTTTTAAAAATTATTGATGATTAAAACGTATATCAAATCAAACTCTTTGTTTAAAATGTAAGTAGTATCATTTTTTAGAATAAATAAAACTCGAATGCAACTCAAACTTCGTCTTTCTTTATTAAGCACAGCTTGATCTAAATTGAACTCGAGCTCGACTCGCTTGATCAGCACCCCTAAGTCATTCATTTCATTTTCATTTTCATTTACCCCAGTGCCGCAAAGGCACCCACCTACGGTGGGGTAAGGGGGGTCGGATGGACTCAGTCTTACCCCTGCACTAAAGCACAGAGAGACCGTTTCCGGATTACCCACAGTGAAAATCGCGTCCAAAATTGCATGGACTGACTGCTGCAGACAGTTTAGTGAGTCATTTGTTGTATTACAAAAAAATAGAACCACTAAACTTTTGTTGCACAATAGGAGTCTTTTACTCCTAGAGAATATAACAATAAATAATGATTAAATAATGGACATAAATACACTTCTATGCCCAATTTAGGGTTCTATATCCCCTCTACGCAAAGCCATAGCAAAGGCACCTTACAAGGAAAGCTTTGGAATATTAATCTTGACGCATTTTGAATCCACCAAACAGGTAAAGCTTCACCCATGCTGTACTATTTTTATTAACTGAACAAAAAAGCTTCTGGGCGTAGCTTCCAAACATATTTGATTGATATTGAGGTAATTGCAATTTAAGTATTATTAAGCTTTATTAGATTTAATCACCCACTACTCTTTTGGAACAGTGAGAATGTTTTGGTCCAACTAGAGAAATTTCCATTAAAAACCGAGATGAGAATCTTCTAATGCAAAACAACGTTGAGAGAGACATGATAACATTCGTTTTCACATATAGATTGTACTATTGAATTTGTGATGTAAAGACATGATTTGTTTTAAAATGCACGCCTGAGGCAAGAGGGGCAGCGATGCTACCACCTACCGGCACCCGAACAACCTTGGCACACCTAGTGCCTCCTAAAACTTGGGATGCAGCTATGCTCTTAGCCTCGTAGTTAACAGTGTGTAAGCTGTTATTTGTGAACTTCCTTAATCCCAACTATGTTGTGTCATTAACTCGACGTTTGTAGGGTTTAAGTGGGTCTTGACCTGTTTGGTACCAATGCTTTAGGGTTATATCAAATTGTCACTTTTTATATATTTTTTGTCTCAACAGTTCTAAGAATGCATCATTTTGGTACCAATTCTTTAACTTGTATCAAATTAGTACATTTTTTTTATAAAATGCATCTAATTCAGTAAATAAATCATAAAAATGTAATAAAATATTTCCATT